CCCCCTCCCCCTGAAATTTGGTTCCAGATATGACCTTTAATAATTTTACATTGTCTGGTAGTAGACAGCTTCTTTTGGGTGTTACTACATTACTGACTGTTAAAAAATATCGTTCAGAACTTACAGATGTGACTGGAATATAAAGAAATCTTTTTTTATATTTATTTTTAGTGGTTTCTCCATCAAAAACAAACATACATGATTTTGATTGTCAAGAATGTTAGGTATTAAGCTAAAACACTACTAATGTTTTGAATTATACTGCCATATAGAAACTCCAAAAGCTCTTGATTTTTGTTATTTCTTTGAAAACATAATGAGTAGAATTCTCTTCAGTTGAATTTTTAACTCTTAAATGAATAAGTTCTCTCATCTCATTTGTCTCATGTTCCAAGTTTTTATATCTTAAGTATAGGAAACATGCACCCTTGTCTAGCAGATACATTCCATTTGAAAAAACTTATTCGTTTTTCCAATATGTAATTGAAAACGATCAATTAGTTCACAAATTACTGTATTTTTAAAAAGCATAGCAATATCGCCGTTATCACCACGTACTTTTAAATGATTCAGTATGATTTTACAAAGTAGTCATCTAGCTACTAGTAAGTAATTTTCTTTGAAAAAAACTGACTACAGAATTTTAAAGGGTTTTAACAAATTTACCAATATTTCCATTGAAACACAATTACTGATTCAGTAATTTCTAATTTTTTTTGTCGTAATTGTGTGATAGTTACTGAACGGTCAGCCAATACATTTGATAAATAACATCTAATAGCATGAAGTCAATCTAAAATTAGGTAAACTAACTTCCATCGCATTTTTTAGCTTTGTACCAAATGTTTATTCGGGATTACTAGAGGGCCCTGTTTATTTTTCAAAGATTCTTTAGCCACATTAGAATGTTTAAAATAACCAACAATTTTACTACTAATTTGAACTTAATTAATAATGTCTCTTTTAGCTGTAATCCTTTATTAATAGTTAACTGTAGGATGTGTGAAGTACAAGCTAAGCCTTGTGACTCTGAAATTTGGGGCATCATTTAAACAGTATATAATACTGTTATATTTATCGAACAGAAAGTAAATGAATTAAATTATTAATGTATGTTAGACCACACTAAATTGATAATACTTTTAAATCAGAAATGCTAATGTGGTGAAATGTTAATGGATAACAATTTAAAATCATTTATCGCTATATTATACAATAAATTTATAACTTATTACCTGTTATTTCCAATACATACACAGTGAATCGAATATTAACAAAATTAAACTTAATGTCTTCGAATTTATATGCAAAAATTTGATTATCTAATTTCTGGACCATAACAATTATTTTATAATATGTTAGCAATTACATTTTAAGTAATTTTTTACTGCTAAAAATACAAAAATTTAGCAATTATAATAGAAACAAGTTAAAAATTAGAAAAACATCAAATATAGAACCGAAATATTGATAAAAACGATTATAGAAGTAATAACGAGAATGACCTATAATATATATAATGAGTATAATAAAAAAAAAATATTAAGTCCTGGTCTTATCATAGTTAATGATTCTTTTATACGTAATATCTATTCCACTCGCTATGAACTATTAATTCGCAACTCTAATTGAATTTAAATGCTTAAGCGTTTGATTGTTTTATTAAACACTTATTGACTAAAAATTGTCCGTATTTATTTGTTTATTTCATTTCATATATGAGTAATTTACAACAGTTACATTAGATACATTTTCAATATGCTGCCAGTGAATTACAATATATAATTACTAATCCCGGTAAACAGTAATTTCCAGAGATCTATTCCGCAATCGTCCTGCGTGAAATTATATACACCACATATAAATAATATTTTATACGTTTCCCTGTGAGTGAATCGTGGCAGTGGATATTCAATACCTCAGCAAGTCCCCCCGGAAACAATGAGTAATAGGTCACATGGTAGCCAAAGGAAACGCGCTAAATGATTTATAATAAACTGAATCCTAAATCCACAGTGGCGTTGGTGTATTGATGACGGGATTTTGTGGCTTAATAATAATTTACACAGATAAAATTCATGCCAACCGGTCAGCTGAAAATTACTGTCTTTATGAACATGGTTGTTTGGGTTTCGATTTGATTAGACTATTCTGTTTTTGTTTCACCTGCGATACCAAATCATTAGTCTATCGAAAATGATTCTGAGATTTCTTTGTCGTATGTTCGTTTCTAAAGAGAATTTATTACACAACATAAATGCATTTTACTTCATATTTTCTTTGTCAAGATCATACAACAGTCACGAGTTGCGTTTATTTGGATATCGTCAAGCTTTTAACGTACGCACAGCTTATTATAGAAGGTATTTTGTACATATTGTTATAGAACTCAAAACAACTCGTTATAGCAAATACAAACCATTATCCTTCACAATTTATAATATATTTATAATTCAAATGTTTTTACCCTAATTTCTTGTTTAACGTGAACAAACATAGATCGCAGGGCGGTATATTTGTTTCAACAACAGTTTGTAGTATTATGAAATATTAAGTAAACATGTACCATTTCCATTATTTTTTTAAAAAAACGTTAATCGAATAAAACAAGACATGCTTTGTGTAAAATCTCATTAAAATCGTTATGTTAGTTTATCCGTGGCAATTGGTCTTTATAATAATTTAGATGAACCCTAAGAGAATTGTGTGCGGTTTCAATTCTCCGAATTACAACATTCATAAATAATAATAATAATTATACAGTATATGTACAAAATAACGTATAGGGCGTAAACAGAGAATTAAAATAGTACGTTACACCTGAGTTTTATTGGAACTATTAATAAAATTGTCTTTTAAAACTGTAGACATTTAGATCATTGAGCTTACAAATCTACAACTCGTTCATTTTTCCATAATTTGTCTGATTTCAATTACACTTAATTTTATTACCCAAGTTCTAGAACATTTACACGTTATATATATTAACTATAGTAACTTAACCAAATTATTTTATAATATTATTTATTGAGAAACTTTTCAGCGGTAGTAATGAAAATAATTCATGATAAAATGTACCATCTAGTTGAAATTTTTAACAGACTAAAAAAGGAAATTGAAATTATTATACTAAAACTTACTTTATGAAAAATATTCTATGTAAATATAAATATTTTTCAAACACTTTAAATACAAAGTTCTTTTGAGATGAATTTTTTGATCTAAAAAATCATGTTAAGAGTTATTTTCTATCAAATTTATGTAAGATTACTGACGAAACTTTTAAATTTTATGGGGTTATCCTCCCTTCTTTCAGAAAATAAATGATTTTACGTAATTAATCCTTCTTTTTTTGCACATCGAGTAGGTCAATGAACGCAATTAGTGGATTTGCTGAAAAAAATGGCTTTATATTTTCAAAATTCAAGAAAATCGCTAACAAAATTTTACATTTTCATATAGTGCAACAGGCATTTATAATTCCATTTATTAAATAACTTGACAACAATTGAATGTATATAATATATATATAGCAATAAATTAAAGATTTTTTTTTTTTACTATGCGAGGGTTATGATTCCAATTTTTTTTAAGATAGAAACTACCTACTGTTAACAATAAACTCTTCAATTGTAATCGTAATTTTTTGGATAGTTTTTTAATAAAATATTAGTTCATCATGTGTTCCTAGTAATTTACATTGAGCCTTACTCTTTATTTTTTCTTAAAACTTAAGTATTTATAAAATAAATATGACAATTAAAAATATTATATAAGAAGGAAAGACAGTATTATGAAATAACATCAAACTATCAATTATCGATTATTTAAGGATATCCACTTCATACATATTAGAGTATTTAATATTCAGTATTATTTTGCATTCCCTTAAATTTAATTTTTCAAACAAAAGGTTTCAGAATTGTGTATATCGTCTTAAATATACTGAAATAATAATTATTAATGTTGGTTGCCTATTGAATTAATACTAGCTACGTTTATAAAGGACATTATAATCAAATATATAACCAAATCCCTTTAACAAACTTTACCAAATTAAATTACATAATTGCATAAAGTGTAATAATCCAAAATCAACTATAAAAAAATGTATAATACTATTTTTAATAAAACTTAATTATTTAATGTTTTAAATAAGAAAAAATGATAAAAAATTATTAAAAAATTCTATTAATGCATTTTAAATTATAACAAAATATACTAACTGCATGCAAAATCATGAACATTTAAAAAATTTTAATATCTATTTATTTTATTCAAAATTTTACATTAAATAAATCTCCCTTTAACTAAAATAAAAAAGAAATACTGAGAAAAGACAATTTATATTATTATGTAACATACATGTCAAATAAATTTCAAAAAGGGACTATTTCTGTTTCCATGTGAGGTAAAAAAAGTAATAGCATTACACATTTATATATTTTTAATAAATATAGTTTAAGAGCCAATAGTTCTTTAAAACGAAAATTTCAACAAAATGATAATTATGTCAAAATTTATAAACGTTGTCAGTTAGGCCTGAGACACTTGTATATAAATAATTTTGATAACATCTGAACCGAAATGTTTAATGTTACGTTTGTTCAATTGTTATGCTAAAAGAAAATAAACAAACATTTCTATAACTTCTCTTGTCTAAAAAAAGCTAATTATTAAAAACAAAACGCATTGAAGCTAAAAATGGTTGCTATGAGCAAAAAATGTTGAATTCTTAACAAAAAACTAATTATTAACTTTTACACAATAATAGTTGTGCGATTTTTGGAAAAAAATTTACTGTAGAAGTACAGTATCTAATAAAACGAAACCGTAAACGTTATATCGTTGTTAATATTAATTAACAGCGATATAAATAATAATTATATTTTTCCTATGATAAGTAACACAATTTATTAATTACTAAAGAAGTATTCTTACCTAGGTGAATCAAAAAAATCACGACGTAGTGCATAACTATTCTGTTGAATATTTCTGACCGGACGTTGATCGTCATAATTTTGTACATTCAAGTGGTACGACCGAAATAAAACTATCAGAGACGAATTAAATGTTCATTTCTTGATCTCTTAAAATTTCAATGCCATGAAGAGTACCCAAAGCTAAGTGATTCTCAATTAACAGAAATTCAAATGGGTAAAACGTGTAACAGAAATCGACTGCAACACGTCGTTACCCATGCGACGATTCGACGGTTGCAAGTGGTAAAGAGCGTGTGTGTGTTTGAATAAATGCACGCGGCGGCTGCGGATCACTCAGATACGTGAGAAACCGCAAGTAAAAGAGTGTGCGCGTCGCCGTCAAAACTTAACGGCCACAACCGCTGCCGGCGTGCCACGTTGTGTGCATTTGCGCTCCGAACCGGAGTCTACAGTAACGTACAGGGAGACTGCCAGTTTTACAGCATGGAACGCCAAAGTCGAATTTTCCACTCGTTTTATTTGCACAACAACCAATTTGGGGCATAACGTTATTTTTTTCAAGTAAAACGGTGGAAATGTGTTTTTCTATAGATTCCGAATGTACGCAAATGGAATTCTAAATTTTAATGTGCATATAAATACACGTTTATAAACTGTATATGCCTACTTACAATAATGATAATAATCATATTATGCACTTTGATATGTTTCTACAGCGTAGAATGTACACGCAACGCATCTAAACGCAAACGGTATTTCCCACCGTCCCTTGGGTTTGTTTTAGTCTTTATTATTAATGATAAAAAGTCGGTTTAACTACAACCGTTGAATTTCACAAGAAAAAACTATTTTTACACTGTATAACGGTACCGTAGATATTTTTAGTAGCTTACTTTAATAGTTTTCCTAATTTAACAATGTGCTTATGTAATAATCGATTACCAGAAACGCTTATATTATTTTTGTCACAAGGATATCCCTGGCTACTATTAGGGACTACGCCAACATAGAATAAATAAAGCTTGTTCTGAAGTCCAATGTTAGATGTTTATTGGACGACTACCCAAGACGCGGTCGTGACTATTTATACAATAACACGGTTTTTGTATTAACTGTGTTAATTCGTTTTGTGTTATTAAAAGTATTTATTAATTTTAAGCTTAAGTATTCACTTTATTTCTTTGGACCTGAGTCTTATCGTTTCTGTGAACCATATTACAACTGACACGTGAAGAACCTCGTCCGCGATAGTTCGACGGTAATTTTACTGAGAAAATATTTTTGCAAATACATTGATATTTATTACAATCCAATCCCTAACGAATATTGTATAATAGCTATATGACAACTTGAAGTTTGACAGATGAACGGGTAGAGGAAAGAGGCGCGTTGAAATGGAGAACCATAGTCGAGTCTCGGAATAAATGATGATACTAGAGGCTTTGATGTTTGTACACTTCTCTTTAAAAACTTTTGAGTGGTAATAATGTCTCGTCAACGGTTAATATATTTAATATAATCTACATGAATGAATAATGAAAAAATTATATTATGTACATGAAATAGGCGTCGCCCATAAATGACTGTACGGTGATAAATAATGTTACGCTACATGTCACTTTAAAACTTAAGCGTTCAAGATATTTTACATTAAACAATTAAAACCAATGATAATCTTTTGTTGATCTCGAACACGCATTGAATTAAATCACATTTCATTTCAATTTCCAGCTTGAAAATAATTGGCATACATTTTACCTCGAGTAACTATAATAACAACATGAAATTATTTAATTTCAATACAGTAAATTATGTTTCGACGAAATTTATAACACGAGTATTAAACAATTAAGTTTCAAGAAATTTCTATAAGATATATTTAAGTTTGTAAAAATCCATAAAAACCGAAGTTTTTCAACGATATTTCCAAAGAGTCGATTTAACTATATGCGATGTGTATCTAGTTGAAAATATTACTTTGAAAAATTGAAATTTTTCCATCGTTCACTGTAAATGATGAAAATTCTCAAAAATTTTGATTTATAACAACGGTAAATTACGACATTTTTTAAACTTTTTTTCTTAATACTGTCATAATTTTTTGAAAAATGAACGAATCAAAATATTCCCTGTTTGCCTCAATGTGAAAACGACCCTCAAAGTTAAAAAAGCTATTTTTGTGTAAAAAAAAACACTATTTTTTGATTATTATTATTTTCTACTTTTTTCTACTTTTTATTATTTTTAATTATGAATACCTATCATTATATTCAAATACTCTAAAAAGGGTTTAATACTGGTACCTAAATACCTCGTTTTAAATATATTTTTATTTTATTGATAATATTCTTATCTTTTATAAATGATCAATAATTGTCCGTGATATTACTCGCACAACAGGTTTCTAAATAAATACAATATTTTATTAGAATGATCTTTCTACCATGTTCTATGGTGTTATGTTACCGTCTAAATTATGGAGAAATCTGGTCACAAATGAGGATACACGAGTGTCCACAAAGAACAGCTGGATTTGTTTTATTAAATAATACAAATATAATAATAATAATATAACAAATCATCGATTCATTATCTTAAGTAAATCCACCGTAGTATCAGTATTATCAATACCATATTATCAAGTTCTGTTAATAAGTTCATGCTGTTACCATTAATGTATTTAAATATTAATCAATGTATTTAATCATTAAAATTAATTTAATCAAACTTAGACGTGGAATTAATGAATTGTAAAAAAAGGCTAACATCATAAATAAAATACTCGAATTATAAAAAAAATTATGAAATAATGTTGAATAATAAACGAAAAGGATGTAATGCTTTACAATTTTTAATTACATAAATAATTAACTAAAAAATTTGATAATTAATAAAACATAAATTATAATATAGGCTATTAAATTAATTTCAATGTTAAAACCACAAATTATAAATTGTAGTATTTATGATTTTTCATAATTACAATGCAACAATTAATTCAACAAAAGATGTTAGTAAATTAAAAATGCAAATGAAAAAAACACCAATAATATTTATTTAATAATAGCTCACTAAAATCTGTAGATGTCTTTGCTAAGTTTAAAAATCGTAGATATTTTAAAATTTTAATATTTTATTAGCTATATTTTTAGTGTTTGTACTTATTTATATTAATATATTATTTTTTTTTTTACTTTCTATAATAACTTGTAAAACTGTTAAGATTTGTGATTTTTATTGACAACTTTTTTTTATTATATAATTTACTTTGAATTTTCACCTAAATATTAACCCCTTTTTAAATAATATACATTTAAAGAAAATAAACAATATTTGTTTAATTTAAATTCATACAACATGAAAGTTGAAAAAAATGTTTGTTGACCTTTGTTGTTCAAAACTGGGGTGATTATATGGTGAACTGGGTTTCTAAGTCCAATTTCAGCCAGTCGGAAGAGTACCAACAGTAAGAGTCTAAGTAAAACTACAATGTAACATTCACTATGAGTACTGATCATTTAATTTGTGATCATGTCCCTTTTTATATTTTAAGATACATGATTAATTACGAATTAATACAAGGTTAAGACAATATTTAAAGTAAACAAAACACACCATTAAAATATAATCTTTAAAATCTAATTTAAAAGACTATTAAGTATTGCTACATATTAAAAAATGCCGTTCACGACAATTATTAAATATCCCAAAAATATGGATAGGTAACATTAAAAAATAAAGTTTTCAGTGATATGAAATAAATTATTATACTAAACATGTAATTACCTCATTATTTTATATTTTTGTCAAATAAATTAAATTAACGTATAGAATAGAATAATTCATTTACTTAAATTATTGATAAATTATTAAATAACAGAGTAAAATTTGCAGAATTGCACTTGCCCTTTACTATACAGTGGTAAGAAAAAAATATATGTATATAAAACATATAATTATACATAATTGTTTATATATAAGTAGACCAAAAATAAGGTTGGGTATGTTATTTTAAGTGGGGCTACAAAACATTGTTTTGGTCTTTGAAACTTAAGCTTCAAGTTTAAAACACTATTTCCGGCTATGTCAACATTAATAGTATATTGTAATATAGGACAATAAATAAAACAAATAGAAATAAAACAATTTGTGTACTTCGATCGAATGAAACTTTAAAAATTAATTACCGTATATTGTCTAGGAGAAATATATCACAATTTAGATTATTTGTTTTAAGTGTATCAATCCAACGACTTTGTTTAACATTTACACTTACATTACAATGTTTAAACACAACAGTTAATTTACAAATTATCTTGGTAATATATGTCACTATTTTTGTAGGTATCCAAGTTATTTTAAACAACTTTGAATACAAAGTGCACACATAAAAACTTTCTATGTTTATAAATGCTAACACCTGTAATATAATTTCATTATAATTTAAGTAATTTCACAGTGAATGATAATTGAAAACTTATATTAGAGTAATTCTGATAATTAATTTTAAATCAACATTAAAGAAAAAGAAAGGCTAACTTCTCAAATATTTAGTTATTACATATATTCAAAAGTAATTTTGGTATAACAAATACATTCTTTAAGGCTTAAAGAATATATTTGTTATAATGTTATTTATTATATTATATTTATTTTTATTATATTTATTTTTATTTGCTAATTAATTATGGGACTAGCTTATTTCAAAAGAAAAATATAAATAACAAGATCATTAACTAAATTAACTACAATAAGCTATAATATGTAGTAAAAGAATTAAATCAAATTAACTGTAGGTAAGTTATAACAATAAAAATATGAATTAAGAAAAATAGTATGTTGACATATCAGAAATAACATAGTTACAGAAACTTGACTACAGTAAAAAAAGAGTAGATATTTTCATCTTGTATGAGATGATTTAGTTGTGAGTTTGACTGATAATTTGTGGTAAAATTAGGAGTACAAAAAGAAATACGTTGGGTTGAACAAAAACATTAAAACTAGAGACACTAGATCAGGAGAGTCAATTTTATTAAATAGGAAATTAAATAAAAAGGAAATATTCAGGTTACGTCAGCAGTCTGGGAGAGTAGGAAGGTCTAAAGGTTAAAAAATAGAGGAATAGTTATGTTGAATAAGGAATTTATGACTAGGAAAACGAAAAAATTTACATTTGATGTATTCGATCATAGCGCTAGTATTTAGTGATGGTGGGGCCCATAGTATTCTAAAATGGGACAGCTTTTAGTAAGGAAATAAGGTGATATTTTTGTGATGTATTAATAAATAAATAAATCTTTTATTGACTTAAATATTTTGTTTTAATTTTTATTTTAGGATGGCTAAATTATTTTTTTCCTCATCAAAAAAATAGTTTTTATATAACAATGTATTTAATTTTGCTAAATTTCTGAGAGACTAAGCTCTCTAGTCACTTCTCCTTGCTTTACAACAATGATAGGGGGTAACTACCTTAATAAATTATAACTATAATAAACAAACATTTTTACTTATAAAACGACTAAACTTTCAAATATTCACGTTATAAATATGATAACTGAACTATCTTGATAAATAACACTTTATGCATTTTGTCGTTTTTATCATAATAGTATGTTAAGCATACATATTATTCGTTACCAATAGGCTCATTTAACAAGGCCTTTTATTTATTTTTTTAATTCAGTATCGTTAGATTTGATTACGTCTACAATTGAAACCAATCGTGTAATTGCATTTTTTTTTTAATTTGGATCAAATAACATGAATCCTGGGTTCTGATTTCCATGATGAGTACATTTACAACTAGAAGTTTTTCAAATAAAATTGAACACTTTACTTTTTGTAAGATTGAATCAATCTATCAAACAAAATATCAAATATCTGATAAATGATACATCATTTAAATTATATTAATGTATTATGTGAAATATAAATTTTTATTAAATGTCAAAATGTGTAACCCAACTAGATGTTAGAATAAATATTTTTCAGATTACTATGGGTATTATTAAAATATAAATTAATTAAAAGCTTTAAAATATTTGTTATTACAAAATGAAACATTTGTTAATGTTGTCGATATATGAAAAAATAATCTAACCAAATGTCAAATATATAATATTCCTGATTTTTTAAAATTGCAATGCAGGACTAAAATAAACCAAATTGCCAACTTAAATTGAATATTTGTCGCAAGGTGTTTCCATATCCTTCTACAATGACGAATTTTTTTGATTCTTTTCTAATTTTAACAATAATTTAAAAAGGAAAAAGTGAAGTAGTAATTGACATGTCTTATATAAAAAACAAACAATAATATTAATTGTTAATGTACTAAACCTTTTATGGAGCTAAAACAAAATTTATTATATAGTTATACAGTTTAAATAGACAAATATTTTTTTATAAAAGATAAACATAAAAAGTAAACAATTATAATTTCAATTGGTCGAAAAGTATTGATTTCATATTCTTCTTAATGTTTTTTTCGCAATATTGAATTAATTATAAAATAAATATAATTGTAAAATAGATAAATTTGATATTTTAAAGATTAAATTAATTAATTAAATGATATATTATTATAATTTATGTGTATTAAAACAAATCAGAAGTAAAAAAACTTTTTATAAATATTTACTGAAAAATTCATTAGATAATTATTATAAAATAAATTTTCTCCTCGATAAAAATTGTTGACAAGCTAATTTCTATTATTAAAATTATTATTTTTATTTAATCAATATATTTATACATGCAAAAGTATAATAAGATCTTATAATATTCTACTTATCTTTTATTAGTCAATGAAAAAATAAATTCATTTTATTTATAATAGACAGAATAATTTTATTTCTTAATTTAAAAATTAAACTTCATTACTCTAGCCCAAAACAAATTTCTGTGAGCATTATATCATAGTGATGTAGTCGTAAATTTATTAGTGTATAGTACTCACTGAGTATACATTTAAAAATCTTAACAGACGAACGTCTGCCGCATCCTTCTTTAACTTTTTAACAAAGGACTTATATACTCTCCTAAATAATCATCACCTTTTAAAAATAAAGTCTTTACATGATATAATTCACAAATAGCATTATTTAATGACAAAAAAAAATTTTGCCCCAAAAAACATTCTTGATCTATACCTTTAATTCATAATTGTTATTTTTACATACAAATATTTGCACATATTAATTCTCTATCCCCAAAATATAAATTACAACGATTTTTTATATTATAACCTTTATGCCTGAATAAAACAAAAAAATATATTTGGTATTCTGAACATCTGATATCATATTAGATTACCGTGATCATAACGATGATAACTACATTTCATCAACATTCGAAAAAAAAATTAACAAAATATCGAGAAATGGATAATTCCGTATACCTACATACACACTGCACTATATCACTGATTATTGTACTACTTGGAACTATAGTTCCTACAAAACTATAGTTACGTCCACGGAACTGTATTGATATTCATCATCTTAGTACATATCGAATGATTGTAGGCTAATTTGCTAAGCGAAATTTTTTTATCTAAAACATGAGAGTAACTATGGATATCAAATGAGTCTGAACAGTTTGGGTAAAATTTCACTTATGCCAATTAGTCTGCAAATATTCAATCTATAGAAGATTCTTACGATTCTATTGAAGATTTTAGAAGATTAGATGATATTCAACACAAACCAACCATTACCTAAGACTATGATTTTATATTATACGACTATCTATAATCGTGTTTAAGACTTAGGAAGTAACGGTTACGTTATTCGTTCGTAAAACAATTACATAACGATATGAGATGGTGTTGTAATCACAGAATAGATTAAACCAGAAGTGACACTCTTAGTTTTTGCTGATAACAAGCTTATGTCGCTCAGTGTTGCCACTTAAGAAATAAAAATGTATTCCCTTTTTTCTTTATATACGGTCACATTGTTCAACACCATTATTAATGGTTTGTTTGTAAACACAATGTTTATAAAAATGGTTTATTGGTAAATATGAAAAATATATGGTAAATATTGGTATTAATGAATTAGAAAATATTTTTATTAATAACTTTTCCACACTTGCTATTGTAGATGGAGTTGGAGCCGAATTAAAAAATTATTTTTGTAATGTACCTTTTAACCACCCTTGTAAATGTTTTGATAAATTGTATTTAATTAATTTGTTTACAAGATTTAGAATATTTACAGCTATAAAATTTTTAAATAAAAATTTAATGTCTGAGAAAAAAATTAAAATAGGAAATTGTCTATTTTAACTCATCTATAAATTATTTATTTATGTATATGATATTTGTAAATTATTGTAATATATGTTTTAAATAAATTTAATATTATGTGGATATTGAATAATTTTTTTTTCCTAAATAAGTCTTTATTAAATATACATAAAATAAAAAATATATTAACACAAACTAATTACACATAATGAAAACATTAATTGAAAGTTTTAAAATGGTGTTATATGTTTAGAAATAATAATAAAATAAATCCAAAAAATTTACTATGCAAATTTTCTAAAATAATTAGCATGTAAATAATACATTTAGAGTTCAAATCAACCGCCGATGTACAATTATTGTACAGTACAATGAATTATATGCATACAATTATTTATTTTATTGTTTTTATGGTAACACTGAGCGACATAAGCTCAAAATTACCGTACTCTCATAAGAATACATGTAATTTTTTTATCAGTGTCCATTCTGGTTTAATCTATTCTGTGTTGTAATCACGACTAATATATTATTTATTTATAATCATGGTTATAATCACAATTGTTAACATTTTAAATGTTATCAATAATAATTATCAATTTTTTAATATCAGCTTACTCTTTTTTTTTTTTTGATATTTGAAATATTCTTTAATTGAATATAAATTTTATATGTACCCTGTTTATATATGTAATATGTCTTAATGTTTTTGATTAGTTTTACTAGAGAAAAAGTTACTTTTTAAAAATATTGATAATAAGAACACATTTTTATTTTGACTTCTTGATATGTATACTTAAATTTAATCGTTGGTTTATGAAAATAAAGAAAGTAATAAGGTTTTCTTACATAAATAAAGCCATAAAAAATTGAAATATGCCTTTAATATCTGAAAATAACTCTGAAGTAAAGGAATATAAGAATATAACTTTATTTATTGAACTTTTAATTAATTTATTTTGTATAAAAATTAAATTTTAGAGTGAAAAAATATCACCAAGCTCTGTTATTATAATACATCCTGGATCTCTTAATTTAAGAATAGGCTGTGCAAGTGATGTTACACCACATACTGTTATACATGGTATTGCAAGAGCTCAAAAAATTCAAGGAAATGATAGAAAAGACCAAATTTTAACAAGTCTACCTCGAAAAGTATTTGAAAAATATTAATATTCATTATATTAGTCTTAAGTTTTTTTTCTTTTTTGTCTAAAGAACTCTGACACATTGGCAACAATGGAAGAGAGTAGACTTCAAGCTTCCCATATGTTACAATCTAGCTTGCAATCTAATGGAGATCGGAGATATGCAACTCCTCCACAGCAAATAGCTTCCTATAACCGTAAATCTGTACCGAAGCATCTAGATATTCCACCAAAGCAATACATTAAACCTACTAGTGATACAGTATTTGGAGATGATGTAATTTTCCTCATAAAATAAAATAATATTTTGTCTTATGTACATTTTAATTATTAATTAATATGAATTTCAGATTTTTAATATTGATCCATCCCTTAACTATAATATTTATTTTCCAATAGTTAATGGTGATTTAAATGTTACTGGAAAAATAGGAGGCTCACTTACTGCTGTTTTATCAGATCTAGAAGCTATTTGGACTTTTTATATTAATAATTTATTGAATGTTCCTACTTCTAATTTCAAAGTAAGAATATTTTTTAATCTATTTAGTATTATTCTTTGTTCTACAATAAGAAGAGATAAGGAAATATATGCTTTTTTAATTAACAATTCTGACATTTTTAAATGATCATTTATATGATGATCAAAATTAAAGTCGTATAATACTCATACATTGAGTTTTCGAGGAAATATATTTATAATATACAAATGTAATAAATTCCTGGACATGCTTTTGTATGTTATGTTTATTAGTTTATTTTGTTTAACAAATGACAGTCCAATATATAAAGATAATGTAATTTAAAATAAAATAACAGTTAGTTACAATATAAATATAAAACATTGAGGAAAGAGAAAAACATATTTTAAAACTTAAGCATATTTTACAGTACATTAAAAAAAAAAGAAGCATTAAATTTAGTATATAAGAATGCAATAAATAATTAGGAAATTAGTGACAATAAGCGAGGATGTGATAATGCTGTAAAAACTGTTATAGAAATGAATGTTGAAGGAAGAAGAGGTAGAGAAAGACCAAAAAAGAGATGGTGGGATGTTAATGAATGCAATATAAGGACAGCTGATATGAGCGTATATGGTGTGGAAGATCTTGTCAAGTAGAAGTTTAGGATAAGAGTGCCCACTCCAAGTAGTTGGGATTAAGGTGAAGAAAAAGAAGAAGGATGTCTATATAATCAGAATGAGGAAGATAACTAAGATTAGTTTTATAATAGATAAAATGAAATATATTATTTTGAAATTTTACAATATCTACTTTATTTCACACAGTATATGGCTATAATTCTTAAATTTAGAAATGGATAATTCTAAAAAAATATTTGTACTTTATTTGCTCCTACTAATGAAATAAAAATTTATCAAAACATTGATGTAAAATTAAAACATTTTTGTATAGAATTTTAACAAGTTATCTTTCTAATTTAGAATTACAGAGTAATTTTGATTATACCAGATATTTTTAATAGAATTCATATCAGAGAAATGATGACAATGATATTAACCAACATGAAGTTCAAAGCTTGCATACTTGTACAAGTAATTATGACAATTCCTTTTTTTTATATGTCTTTTAATTTTAAATTAAATCAAAGGATCATGTTGCTGCAACCTTTGGAGCTGGTTTAGGTTATGCTTGTGTTGTTGATGTAGGCCATAGAAAAACATCGGTTAGTTGTGTTGAAGATGGAATATCTCAACGCAATACACGTATAAGATTGCATTATGGAGGAGGTAATATATTGCAATTAATTAAATTAGCTAAATATAAAAATTAAAAAAAAAAAACAAGAATTGTGTTAATAATAGATTTTTTTTTGTGAAATTCAAATTTTAACTTTATCATACATCCAAATAATCTTATTTAATAATTATTATTTATATTTCGTTTCACTTTTTTATTACTGAGTCATTAAATATATTTCCACAAGTATTCTGATTTAATTTCCCTTATACTTCTGATTAATAATATTAATGACTATATAATTTATTAATACAGCTAATATTACTCAAACATTACATTGGCTTCTTAAAAAGTGTGCTTTTCCATATACTGAATGTAACCCATTGACAAGTTATTATGACGCTATTTTATTACAACAATTAAAACAAGATTTTTGTCATTTAAATTTGGATAAATGTGGTTGCATAGAAAAATCAGTTACATTAAAAAAACCTGCTAAGCCAGTTACGCAATATACAATTCAAGTAAGCACATATATATATATATATATATATATATAT